AACAAGTGGGTTTGGTCTAGTTTGGAACCTCCAAAAGTCGAGACATTTCTATGGCAGGTATCTCACTTAAAGTTGGCTGTTATAGTGGAATTGAAGAAAAGAGGCATTTCATTGGAGGGTGTACTATGCCCTCTTTGTCTTAAAGAGGATGAAACAATTCAACATCTTTTTTACTTTGTCCTGTGGCTTGGGATTTGTGGAATAGGTTCGCTAGGATTTGGGAGCTGTCTTTTGTTTTGCCTAATGATCCCAGGTCGTTATTATCCTCTTGGTCCTCTCTACGGCCATTTTCTACTATTTGGAATTTTATCCCGGGAGTGGTGTTGTGGTCGGTTTGGAAGGCGAGGAATTCAGTGGTGTTTGATAACGGGACTGTGGATAGTTCTTTGTTGTTCTTCATTTGCAGGTTCAGGCTGGCCAAATAGTTCTTAGCCAAATTTCCGAAGGTAAATTTTCAGGTGGATCTTTTAATTGGGGATCCTGTGTTGGCAGATAGGGTTTCAGTTAAGCCTCTCAACAAGCAGATGGGTCAGTGTTGGGTTCCACCTCCTCCTGACTTTTTTAAATTCAATGTAGATGGGGCGGTTACAAGAGATGGTCTGCAGGGTGGAATCGGTGGATTGTTGAAAGATTCTCATGGCTCTACTCTAATTTCCTTTTCTAATGCTACGGGACCAGGCCCTCCTGTGTATGCTGAATTGAAAGCTATTAAACAAGGAATTGATTTATTCCTTTCTTCTGAATGGGTCCTGAAGGGAAGATTAATTTTAGAGACTGATTGCAAAAAAGCAGTGGACTGGATTTCGAGGATTGATGTTGCCCCGTCGTTCTTTTCGTCTCTAGTTGGGGAGATTGGTGCTTTAGTTTCTGTTAGAGATATTTTGGTTAGGCAGATTCCTAGGTCTTGTAATTGGGAGGCTGACAAATTAGCCAAGGAGGGGATTGGTTGATAGGTTTTAGTAGTCTTTTACTTTGGTGTTTTTTTTCTGGTGGTGTTTTGTTTTATGTAATCTTATGTTAGTTGGGTTATTAATATAATGGGGTACTCTTTTCCTCCTTCGTCAGCTGCCTCTGTTCAAGAGGCAACTATTAGGGAGGTTTTTAATGAGGCCTCCTATTCTTATAAAAAAAAAAAAGATAAAGGTTAGCTTTTCATTCAGATACTAAAGATGAGAGTGGCACGATAGAACAATTAGAAGAAGCTCATTTCTGATTCCTTATCCTAACAGCCCCAAAATAATTTAGCGACCCCCTCCCCCAACCCAACACCCTTTCTCAATTACTGATAAAGCTTTAAAGCAGTACGTAATCAGATGAACCCAAAAGAAAACAAAAAATGCAGTTGCATAGCATAAGCAAAACTTAAGCAACACATTGAAATGCCAGAACAATATTTCTAAGCAAGGACTCAACAAGTATACAAAGACCTTCAAAGCAAACAAGAGAAAAACCCTAGATCAACCATCCATCATTGACATTAGTCTCTGTTTGATCACTAGCTTTTACCCAAGAGAAAAATAATCTTCCCTGAAATCAACTAATGCTCCCTATCTCTCCAAGACTTCTGTAATTTGCTCGGCACTGTAGTCAAACCGAACTTTCTACAGATGTTACCAATATTTCCAACGAAGCTTTCTATAGATCAAGCTAATTCCCACATTCCAAAAGCAGAGTCAAAATTTATCTAGAATCTTTTTAACTATCATCAATGAACCAACAATTTGGCAACAATTTCTTAACTATTAAGCAGGATACCCAGGAACAATAAACAGCGAAAACTTGACTCTACAAGAAAGCTGCACTTTCAACCACTTTTGGTTTCAAACATAAAACAATTCAATAGTAGAACTTGAGAATATCTTATGACTCATGGACACACCTATATCTCATAAAAATTAGTCAAATGTCTCCATTCAAAATCCACATTCTAGGTCAATTGAAACTATAGCAGGACTCAAGACACATGCACGTTAAAGACAATTAAATAACATGCATAAGAAGGTGATACTCCACCCAACAGTATTACCAGAAAAGAACATTAAGTAATATAAGTGCTTCCACACAAGACGCCCTTTTAATTACAAATTCCAAAAAAAATGGATTTAAAAAAATTAACACATTCAGTTTTTCTCCATATATTCTGTATATAGAGAGAAAACAATTCAAGTTAACTAAAGATGCCAACCAATAATTCAAATTAAACATGCTCTAACTAGGCAGGCGAAGATAAAACTCTGAACAAAATCTGCCTCACAAACGTTCCCTATATTTTACAGGTAACTAAAGTCAATATGATCCTGCTGGAAGAATTTATTCAAGAAGTTCTAAAGTGAGAAAAATAAGACTAAATCCTTAAACAACAACCCTTCGTTAGCAGTAAAACAAATATAATATGAATGTTTCAATCACTAAAGGATGGCTCCTATCTTGTTATTGAGATCAGTTCAACATATTCAACAAGGCTTACATTTTAAGAGCACTGTTGATTTTTCAAATAGATCAAGTGTACAATAGTTAAAATCACTTCCCAGAGAGAAATCTTTTATGGAATGCCACTCAAAACATCAGTTACTCAAGCAACTTCAGACCTTGAACTATGACCAAAATAAAAGTAATCTAAATGATGTCAGGTCAGCAGTGATCACTGTTGAAACATACATACACAATATTATGGGGGGAAAATATCATGCATACAGCTGTCAAGAATGCAGCGAACCATTGCATCTACTCCCTCAAGAGAGTCAGATAAAAAAAGTATTACTAAGAAATCAGATAACCGTATGTATTACTCTGATTAACGAAAAAGGTTCCTCAATGAATGCAACCACTGAAACCAGGAAGAATAGCCTTTATGAACCCAAGTCAATATAGCAACTAGGCATGCCTACCAACAACACCTGTCTTTTGTATACAATGGCCAACCAACAGACATCACATAAGATGCCTTTAAAAATTTTCAAGTTCACACAGTCTGACAGTCATGCCCAAGTATATCATAGAACCTAGGTACATATCATGCAGGGAACAATCCTACAAAGTGACGGAGTTTAAGCAATTTATCTTTTCAGGACATAATATTTTCTAACATTTAAAATGACAGTATTTGGTTACTTATAATTAATAATATTAACATGATAAAGGCTTTAATATTGCAAACAATATTCTTTGACCATTTTAAACCCAGTTTATTCTTTACCATTCCGGACAGTTTACTCCACCAGATATCCAATATATAAGACAATACCACCCATTTTTCCCTGCTGCTAGATATCCTATAGTATACACAATTTTGATCTTAATTATAATGAAGATGCTATCTGACAGAGAATGCTCCTGCATCACTATCCTTTATGAAAACAAAACAGAGAATGTACTTCTAGCACAACCACCAATCATGTGGGCAAACCTGCTAAACATACAAAAGATGGTGCAACCTGCAAACTTAACTTCACTTTGTTCTTGCAATATGGGTATTTACATCCAAAGAAATAAATTGTATATTATTAACAGTGGACCAATGAACAAGCTTGAAGTACACACCATCTCATCATGCAAAAGTTCTGAGCAATTTTCTAGACATGCTTGCAAAAAGATTGAGTATTATCTTAAAAATTCTGAAATCTTTTGTTTCTGGCCAAAAACATTCCATCTAACTGCAAGTTGTGATAAACACTATACATTTTGGACTTATACGATAAAGGCGGGCGATTAAAATAGTAAGGAAAGAAGCTGCTAAGATAAAAACTCGGAGGAAACTAGGAAGTTCTGATGATAATGGTACAAAGTTTATGATGATGCAGTCTCCCTTTTGGAAGGGAAAAAACTCCCAACAATGCCAGCCAAAGTATAAAAAAACGTACATCTCAAACCAAGAGATAATATATATATATATATATATCTGATCATTTATTACCGTTTGTTAAACAGACGGTTCCAGTGGTTTCAGTGGTTGCATCGCAAACATAATCATAAAAATAATTGTAAATCATAGAATGGAAACATCACATAGTAGCAGGATAATCCCCAGTTAAAAAGAATTTTGATTATTAAAATACTTGATGTGCATCAACTGTTGTAAAATAACCAATACATTTTAAGGTAGCTTGTATATTTTCAGCTGTACAATTATACAGCAGATACCAAAAATATTATATGATCCCCCTAATAATTTACTTCAATGCCTGATCACCAAGTTTCTCAGCATGAGTTGACTGATGATTATGTCCATTGCTTAACCATTCCTATCATTGGCCAATGGTGCTCCATAGTACAGATAAATGTGAACATTATCTAACCCTGTAACTCCCAATATCTGCTCCAGCAATGCAGCAGCATCCAGGGCCATTAACTCCTCAAAAGAGAGCTGAACAACATGCTGCAATGGTATCACAAACATGCACTTGAACTTGCACTATAACCTGCTTCCAAGCTTTCATCAATCCCTCCAAAAGTTTTAAAGATGGTAAAACAGAGGGGAAATGCTACACACAGTGCAGTTCCCATATTATAAAATTTAAATATTGATTTATCATATGGACAGTAAACACAATTGATAAGTATGCATAAGTAGAAGTACCATTACAAAACACTGATCTTCTAGCTTGAAAGTAAGAACTATTCAGTTATGACAGGATATAGTTCCTTAGAATAAAAAGGGAAAAGGTGAAGATGCAAATAAAACGCCTACAATGGGAAAAGCAAAGGGCAATGTGTAGCATTCTTGAACAAGTTAGACTTAACACCAACGCTGATCAACCCCAAAATAAAAAAAAATAAAAAAAACTTTTTCCACATCCTCACAAACAATTATAAGTCCTAATATGGAGATTAGGAGAGGGGAGCAAACATGTACAGCTTTATAATCCCCTCATGATTTTAAACTCCACATGTCTAGATTTTATGATGATATGGCCCAGAAAAATGACACAAGAAGGAGGAAAAGATAGAATACCATAAATTTCAAATAAAAACAACTCACTACTAGTTTCAAAAAAACTCACCAATTGACAATATTGATTGTTACAGCTCCAGGTAGACTACTGGCTGATTGCAACATTTCAAGTAAAACAAAAAGATTCCTGTTCGCATCTGATGTTAGAGCAATTGGATCCAAAATAGGATGACTACCACTTAGCCATGATATATTAAAAGTCCGTCTACTTCCTCTGGTAGCTATAGAAACATTAAAAGGGATAAGTTTCCATATATATCAGTAACTATAGAATATATAAATATAGAGATACTGTGAATGACAAACAAAACAGAAGACCTATGCAAACCCAAAAAAGTCAAACTTCCAAACATGGCTATATGACCCTTAAACCAAACCATGTCCTCGTGGAGCCCTTCACAATTGGAATGCAATACCTTCAAACTTTTCATAATAAACGTTGTCGGGTGTAAAAAGTAAGATGTATGTCTCCAAAAATTTCAGCGCCAGCAACTTTATCCCAACTGGACCAGGCTACAAATATGATAAAAAAAACATAGATTAGAAATGATTAGCGAGTTAATAATATCAAATCACTGTAAAATTAAATAATTCTCAAAAGACAACTAAATAATTTATGAGTAACAATAGTGACGGAGAAGAAAAGAACATAAATAAGTATAAAAAATATCAAACAAATACCACTACCCAATACAACATTAGACCGTGCACCTCGCCTCTTTAAGGGAAAAAATAAGGGATCCAGAATAGCAAATTTTCACTTTTTTCTGTCTCAAAAGAACAATCTCCCACAAGAATTTTCAGAGCCAATTGCTCACATCAAGGTATCAAGTTAAGAGCCTTATCCATTTACCGCTGATACTTTGGTGCATAAAGGTTGCCCCAGATATATATTTTAGCACACAAAACTTTACTCTAGGATCAATCACCACCTCAAGATAAGACAAGTATTTGTTTAAATCTCATCTGATAATTGTCATAAAAGAGTTACCCAAAACTTATCCTGTGTTATTATGATCACATATCACATTGAAATAAAAAGCTTTGTAACACAGTTTCTCTATGGAGTAAAGATGGACATAAATGAAACCTAATATCCCATAAATGTTTCTTATAGTTAACATTAAGAAGCTACTCCTTTTTACATGTCCACCAATCAACCAGCCTTCCCCAAAGGAAGGAAGGAAGAGACAGACAGACAGAGAAGACTTGATAAATCAGTAACAATTTTCAATTAATTGAAATTTTTTAGTTTTTGGCCTTTTAAGAATTCAACTTTGTTTGGTCAATCATTCAACGCACCACTTCCTCAAAAGTACTACATGAAACTTATGAAACATATTAAGTAGTTAAAACCTACCAGTGTCATCTATCTGCAACTTTTTAAGTATCACTTTTTTTATATGGCCATATGCTTCAGCTAATTTTTCCTATATGACATTTTTTAATTATTGTTAGATGAGAAAACTCTATTAAAAGATATATCTCTTTCTTTTAGAAAATCAACCGAAAGCTATTTGGTATATACATTTTCAACCATCAACCAACGAGATCTCCTAGAATTATCTCAATCGCAGAAGGTCAGCATTTAATTTAGTATTTTAATTTATCAAACAGCACCTACCTTCGTCAAAATAGTCAACCATTGAAAATTAGCCCAAATTTGTTAAGTGTTTGGAAAGCCAAAGTAAATATGCCATACCTGCAATGCAATGGAAAACACACCTTCCTTGAACCTAATCATCCACATCCATAGTTCCTGAACCCACTGGTCAACTTTTCCATACTGCTGAAACGATAATTTCCAGGAAAAGAAATTTAAGCCTAGGTAAGAAAACCAAATATTTTGACATAAAAAAGAAAAGGCAAGATAATAGGGCTGAATCATAAATTTCTATAGTAGTCCAAAACTAATGCAAAGAAGCTATCATCAAGTGGTTAAAATATCACCAAGCACTCAATCAGATAGAACAGTAACTAAAAACCAGCAGCAAACTTTAATGATTCATAGCACATACATTGAAATTTTAAAAGTATTGTGCTCCAATTGTACATGGTGGCATAAAATCCAATCACAGAAGGGAAAATCGCTAAAATGATATCTGATTAGGTTTGGACTACAGGTTTATTTAAAAAGGGAGAAAGTAACCTGTAGTGTCATTTCTTCCAGAACACTGCAGAAGAAGTGCGTGCCAGTAACAATAGATTGTTTAACAACATCTGAGTCAACATCCCTCAAGAACGCTACTAAAACTGGTACAAGTACAGCAGAATGCTCTATCGTCCTCAATGCAATATCTTCAATTATCCTGCAAACCATTGACCAAAAAAATTACAAAAGACATTATAAATGTAACATCAGAGAACAAATAAAAGCAATTCTTCTTACGCAATTGGATCAGTAATTTTTTTAATCTTAAGACTAAACATTTCGAAAAAAATGCAGGCTCATTAATCACCGAAATATCAAAACTAAGAAGCAGTTAAGCATAAAGTGATAGAATATAAAACATTTAAAATACACTTTTATATATAGAAAAATAAAGAAATAGGGTTTGAAACTCACTCGAGAAGAAATTTCCTGACGAGAGTATGAGGAGAACGCTGGAGGTCGGCGACGTAGGGGAAGAGATCGGCGGTGGATGAAGAATCGAGAGAGGAAAGAATGTCCCTGGCCTGTTTAAGAGAGGAAAGCTTCACGGCCAAATCGGAGTGGTTGATAGCGGCGGTGAGGAGAGAGAGGGCTTGGTCTCTGGAATCTACAACGATCATGGCATTTGTCTTTCCCCCAAAAGAATTTTGATTGACTTTTGGTGGGAATTGTGAAGAAAGGGGAAATGATTTAGGGTTTTGAAGGGTAAGGGCTTAGAAGTGGAGGGCGGATCGTATGAAAAATTTATGAGGTTGGAGAGAGAGATGAGGATTTTTTTCGGTGTTTTCTTTTTCTTGATTTTATGAGGTCAAAGTGGAGATTTCATTTGTGAGTTTACCGTTTTGTTTATTTACCTCCTTTTTATCCCAGTCATTTTCGTTTTTTACAATTTTATTATAGGGTAAACTAATCCGACTCCATTTTATCCTAGTCATTTTCGTATTTTACAGTTTTAATTCGTTATTTATAAAAATTATTTCAGTTAAATAATTCTTTCTAACTTAGTTTTCTCTTAACATTTACCTGTCGTCTTTGTCTTTGTCTTTGTCTTTGTTTTTAAATTTTTAATCGATAATGGCATAAATCTTAATGTTAATTATTGATTGATTATCAATTCCCTTATTTTTTTTATTTACTTTTTTTTAGTTTTTTTAATTTTGAATAAAAGTCTTTGTTCTTGTGATACTTTTTTTGTTCTTGTGACACGTGTTTTCTTTACTCTTATGACACGTGTTTTCTTTACTCTTATGACACGATCCTTATAATTTTTTTACACTTTTTGCATACCTTTTGTGGTCGTTTTGGTGCTTACATAAAAATCATCACGATATTTATTATTTGTTAGGTTCATCGGTGAGTTCACTCACCACTCTTTTTTCACTTCGTAAAACATCTCATTCGACAGAGACAATGAGTTTTTAAGTAGGCCACGTGGTATTTTTAATGTTGGTCGTCATTATCTTTAGGTTTAATATTTTGTTTTTGTATGAGTATTTGGGTGACTCCGTCTCCAATTCTCTCTCTATATTTGGTTGTGTTGTAATTCTGATTCTTTACATTGTTTTTTATTAATGAGTCATTGTTCAAAAAATTATTTCAATTAAACAAATATAATAAGGGTATGTTTGTTTCACTGTAATTAGAGTCATAAAATAGGTAATTTTCACCGAGATACAATATTATAAAGATGGAAAGCAATGATAAATTCATCAAAGGTTTTTGACAAACATATAGACTATACTAAAAAAAGTACAATAATGTAAGGCCTAAATGCTTAAAAATGGAGAAAATGTTTTCAAGAAAATGAATTCTTTTAAAAAAAACAGAGACCCTAAATGCTTTTCATAACTAAAAGGAATCTGTTTTATTAATTAATTTTAAAAATTAAAAATTATAAAAATAAAATATCCACCCTGAATCAAATTCAAACAACTTATTAATTTGATCATTTTTTGTAAAATTACTTGTAATGATCATTACAATAAATATTGACATTATAAGGACATTATGAGGGGATCTACTACAACTTATGATAGTATTTTTTTTAAAGTTTATTTAAGGATTATAACACGAAATTAAGAGATTTTTTTCTTAATATTTTAGGATAAATTTTTTTGGGGATTTTAGGAATTCAAATAAATTAAAATCAATTTTGGAATATTTTTTGTCTTAAAAAGTTATATCAATAAAACATGTAAATATTTGACATACAAAGTTAGGGGTGTTCATTTTTCGGTTTTAACCGAATTAACCGACTGAACTGAATTAATTCGGTTAGTTCGGTCGGTCACTGAATTAGTTCGATCGGGAAACGGTTAATAAATTTTTTAGAATTCGGTTAACGGTTAATTCGGTTCGAAATCGGTTAATTAACCGAATTTATCGAAATTAAATTTTAAATATTAAATATATTATATATAACATATGGGCTTAACCTAAACTATTTAAAACCTAATTAATAATTTAATATCAAATAATTTTTAAACCTAAATCAATATTAATTAATTAAAAAATCCATATAATTTTTTATTTTATAATTATATATTATTTAAATTAATTGTAAACTTTTTTTGAATTAAAAATATTCAATTTTTATATAAATTAGAAAATTTAAAAAAAATCGGTTAATTCAAAAATTAACTAAATTAACCGAAATTTATTCGGTTCGGTTAATATTTTCAAAAAAAAAATTTGATTCGGTTAAAGGTTAAAGAAAAATAAGTTCAATAATGGTAATTTGGTTCGGTCGATCACATTTTTAACCGAATGAACTCCCCAATACAAAATTATGGACAAGATGACACACATATTGCTTAAATGAAAAAAGATACTCATATTTAGTGTCAAGTAACACTAAAATTTGAAAAATACACAAGATTTTATATGCTTAAGTTATTGAGAGTCTAATGTATACGTTTAGGTATTGTGTACACTACTAGCATGTTAGACATATATTTAAGCAGCCATAGAATAAATCATTGGATAGTAACTTACAAGATTACAAGGTATCTTCAAAATGAAATATTACATGCTCGTTTATAAGATATTTTAATTCTGAATATAATTTTATTAGATATCAAGATAACGACAAACCTATATTATTATATATCTACCTATTAGATGGAGGAACCATAATCTGACAAATGTTAAACAAACATTTGTTGTTTCGTCCACTATAGTAGCGAAACCTATAGCATAGCATGCTACGAAGCATCAAATCATAAGATATAGTTACAAATTTTTATATTTGTACAGTTAAAAAAATACGTTATCGATTTTGTTATAATAAAATCAGTAAAAAATTATTGAAAATATTATTATTTATCGGTAAAGTACTATCGGTTTTGTTATTTTTTCTACCGATTTTGTTATTGTTGTGCACTTTACCGAAAATATTAAAAAACATTAACGTTTTAGGTAGAAATAATAATGTTTTAGGTAATTTTATTATTATTTAAATAATAACAAAACCGGTAGTACTTTTTTAAATTATATATTAAGAATGTCGTACTATAGAACTTCCCTTTTATTTGTACATTTTTGATAATATAAAAAGATCATTCAACTTATTATTTTAATACTAACTTCACTTAAGTTTGGAGATGATCAAATGAAAATAAATATATATGCTTCACATTATATATAACTTTCATATTACGCATTCAATTTATGTCATTTGACTATATTTATACATGGAATATTATTATTAGTATACAAGCGAAGAAAAGTTTGGGGCGAGACGATACCTTGGAATCTTAGACCCCAAATCTCTCACATATTAATTTTTTAAAATGTTATTAGATTATCTGTAACGCCTCAAATCTTTAGTTAGAAGTTCAGGTCAATATGAGATAGTTTAGACGAGCCCATGAATCTTATAAGAGCATTGAACCCATTTCAAGTATGGATTGGGCTTAGTTTAGGGCCCAGTTAGTATTAAATGTAACACCCCTAATTTGTATTCGACCCGGATCCGAGTTCGAAGTGTCACATCGACTTTTATAACGTTTTTCTTTATAAAATGGCAAAAATTTAATTTCACAATTCAAAAACAAATGATTACTTTTCATTAATTAAAATCAGTTGGTCTTACAAAACCTATCAGAACATATTTAATTCAAATCTAATAGTACATGCCAACTATATCCAAAATAACAAAAATACATATTATCTTTACTTTTCTGATCTAAACTTCGTAAGGAAAATGTTGACATGTCTTGCTCCTCTTAGCTCCTCTTCTCGCTTTCCAACCTACGTGTAAAATATTCACACGCTAAGTCGATGACTTAATGAGGCATATAAAACTTATAATGCACTTTATAACATTTAACAATGCATGCATGTTTTGTTCTATCATGCTATACCATATCATTTTATTTCATCATATCATATAAAATCATATCAGATTGCCTAGCAAGAAATACATACGCATAAATCATCATTAACAATTTATCTTTTTATCACATGCTTTTATACTTAACCTTCTTAATCAAACACTATACACACAACATCATATCATTTCTATAACATTTATCATATCACAAACATATATTTGTTATTATCTCTTGATTAGCCCATGTACGTATGTGAGAACTATAGATATGTAAGTCTATAGAGGTTGTGCACTAATGTTGTCACCACAGCTCGTATAAATGCACCGAAGTGCCACGTAGAAATGCACCAAGTACCATATAAAATGTCCATAAGGACCACATAGAAAATTCCTTAGGAATCATATACATATTCCAAGGACAAAGTATGTGTCTCAAAGGACCTCATAGATGTTCCAAATGATATATATATGTCCCGAAGGACCACATAGACGCTCGACTCTTGGCATGCCAACTATACCCCTAGCTCTCATGACACATAACATGGGTATTATCTTTTATATCCTTTCACATATTCACATAAACATGTAATTCACTTTCACATTCACGTAGCTTATGTCACATAACTTGAATCACATATACAAATAGTCGCGTAGATCACTTTACATAATTTATATCAACTTTCATGTCATTTCACATTTCTTGTCTTATTTCTTATATTTTATTCTTATGTCTCTCATAGACATATATTCAAATGTTCAGGTACTCCACCATTCCATCACCTAAATATTCCCTCGTATAACTCATTTCATATATATCCTTATAATTTATCCTAGTATAAATCATATAACATTTATATAATTCAGAGTCATATATATATATATATATATATATATATATATATCATTTTACATATACTTGTATTCCCATGGTTTATATTCTTCTTCTCATAATCACATATATCATGTTTAATAACATATATCATATATATATATCTAATAACTTATCTCATCTCCTATAGCTTATGATTCACTCTCTAGTATTCATCTATGTCATACTTATAAACACATATCAGAACATATCAACTCATATAATCAAACATACATACATTTCATGTCATTCACATAATTATGTTTATGACTTCATGCACTAGACTTAGAGGAAATAGACTTATCGCAAGTTAAATTTTCATATAATCCTATATTCAAATAAGAAGCACTCACCTGGCCTCACTAGTCAATACCGATCTCTTATCTTTCCCCATGATCGATCTTACTTGTCAATGGTTTTAGAACTCGTTTAGGCTCTGTACTACATAAATATAATTTTCCATACAATTATCAGAAGTCTAAACCTTATAATTCGATACTAAAAACTTAAGCTAACTTAATGAACCAAAATTAATTTTTCCCTTTAGGGGTGTATCGATACCCAAATTAGC